AGTTTATTTACTGTATAAAAATACCCATCTAATAGTTTGGCAATGTCAACAAATATCAAAATAACCTTCCCTCCAGCTCTATGCCATGTATTTCGAGATGGAACCACAATACAGACTGTTATATACCACTTAATCTCACCAGCTGCCAAGAACCAACAGTATAGCTTGTACACTGTATATGTTTTGGGCATTTTAACTGGCAAATATACGATGCTCATGATCTCTGCAATTGTATCTATTTCAAACCCAAAAGTGCTGCTTCTGCCTTCCCATCGACTCATAAGCTGGTTGTTGGCAAAAGAAACTGACTGCCTAATTTTAAAACTGAATAAAAATGAGATGGCTATAAATATAAACCTGCTTTGCCAGCTAAACCGTGGAGCAAAGAACATTTGATAAGTATTCAACTGGAAGAAAAACTGCCTATACTGCAGCTATAGGACTTTATGAATGAACAAACAGCAGAGACTGTGGGGGGAATGAGCAGAAGTCTAAAAAAAGATTCTTAGCTATCACACACCTACACAGAAACATTTAGCACACACAAGATTGGTGAATGCTGCTGGCTAGAAACAGCTTTGTTTGTCTGCATTTCAATGCATAGTTAGTTAGTTCCAGGTTTATATATCCAAAAAAGAATGATAGAAAGAACAAGCCAACTAACACCAATTACCAAACTCCAAGCCTCTCTTATCTCATCACAACACATACATTCTTACCAAAAGGAGAAAAAGTTGGCCGATTGTCTATATTGGACTTCTCGGTGCTCTCACACCAAAGATAAATGAATACCCAGGGGTGCACATCACTTTTTTGCCCTGGTTCTCAAAAGGAGCACCTGGAGATGTTGCTTGGTGCGCATCCTTAAAATGAAATAAACCGGACCTTTTGAGGGGTTCTTGACTTTATGAACCAGGGGGGGGGGGGGGGGGGGGGGGGGTGCGCTAGTGAGCTCGCTAGTTTGTTCGTTCTCTCTCGTTTTTTTTTCAAATGATCCGGTGCTCTTTTTTTGGTGGGGGGTGCGTATGCGTACCTGCGCACCAGTTATGTGCAGCCCTGTGAATCCTGTCACAGTAAGCCTTGTTCATGATTTGCAAAACACTGAATAAGGGGTAATTGGGTCAATTAGCTAAAAGTTCTGCTCTTAGTCAAAGCAGTCACTTGATAGTTGTGTCACAAGCCACCACAGAAGCTACATTTACGTAATGTAATGAGGCTAAACCTTTCTATAGGTGTAATAACTAAACAGCCACTATGCTCCCCTTCTACTGCTGTCTATGTGAAATCACCTTATTCTATTGCAGGGTGTATCCAAACCGTTCTGACATCATAATTACAATTGAAAAATGAATAGTTTCTTGAATTATAGCAAACACTAAAGTTGCCTCCAGCCCCTTTTTACAATACCAGTCAAGATTATGTAAATACCCTTTGCCATAGCAATTTCCATATTTATTTAATCTTCTCCAACAAGAGACAAACGTTTTGACTAGTCACGTTTCTCAAAAAGCCATAATATATGCAAAACAAAAGATTGCACAGCCTGACTTCAGCAGGCTGTTATCCCTTTGAAGAAGATAATAATGAATGTATAAAAGCTTTTTGTGATAAACTGTTCAGTTTCTTAGTGCATGAATAGTGCCAAATGTTAACTGCATGCTTAGTTGTGATGGATAACCCAAAATATTCTGAGAATAACAATATATAGTACACCTATAAAGGGGTTTCCATGTTTTACACATTATTTTCTCCACCAAAATGTATTTTACTACCATATTTTCTTCACATCTGGCAACCCTAGAGTATAAGTGGCAATCTATCCATCTGTCTGATGCTGTATTCAACATTCACTTCACTATTTTGCTAGGACCGAGTGCCTCATTAGACAAATATAATGAAGGTTTTGGTCAACAGATCAACAATTCCCACATCCTGTCCATCCTCACTTTCTTGTTTACCACCTGTCGCCTCTCTGTCCCTTCATCAATCCCACAATGACAGACACTTTAATAGGAGCTGTCAGCCGCTCCCAGGCTTTTCACTGACAAAATACACAGGCTTGTCCTCGCCAGAGTGCTAATCATTCACACAATTTATTGTATTTATAAGCAAGAATGGACAATCGGTAATAGCTCTCCTAAAGATGCTATTTTATGTTAAAGTATCATCCATCCATTTTACTTTGAAGCAGAAGACCTACAAAAATCACAGGGCTGACACATGATGACAAACAAACATCCACGCTCACATCCTTAGCTGCCAATTAACCTCACCTGCATGGCTTTGGAAAAACTATGCAGGTGCAGGGAGAAAATGCAAACTGCAGACAGAAAGGCCCCAGTCGGCTAACAAATTGCCCCTTTGAGGATCAGTACAACCGAAAAACAGAACATTTTGATTTCAAACTGTCCCCTGTTGGTATTAAGCATTACTAGTACTCCTCCTGTTGATCTATTCTGCCTGTCAACCCATTTGGAACTACTTGTCCTTTAGATACATTTTTAGAAGGTCATGCCCTTCATATATGAGTCTTTCATTGACCAGGTCCAGACAAACATACTAAAAATGTATGGGCCTATGATAATTTAGGGTATGACGCAAGCAGTACATCTCATTGTTCCATCACGTTACTCTCGTTGCACTTAAAACCATAAATGAATACTATGCTGTTTAAAAAAAGAGAAAGACCAAATTGGGATCACAGTTTTAACTTCAAAGCGTGTGTATGGTGTATCTGAAACAAACAGTGATTCACTGCTGATTTGAAAGATTGGGAACATGAAGAAAAATAAAAACATCCTGCGTCTGTTGACCCAGTGTATGATTTTTTTATTATGTGCACATTGTGTGGTCAAAACTAAGCCTTATTAATGAAGCACAAATCAGATAAGAGAACTATGAAACCACTCAATCATTGCACAGAAACTATAATGTTTTTATAACCATTATCTCAACACAAGTAAATCAGATAGTCTGAATGTGTGTGGCTTTCAAAGACAGACAACAAAGTGGGACTAAAGTAGCCCAGATGTGGGCGGATGGGTACTGGTTGAGACATTCTGCCTGGTTAATGTGTCATTTGTAGTTCAAACTCATGCATCTCTATGCTGCAAACACATGCCAAGATAAACAACTTAGGCAAGGCTGAATTAAAATGCTTCCTGACTGATATGAGCAGGCCAGTGGTATGTTTCATGGCTACAGTCTGCTAAAACCGTAGGTCTGTATTAGGGGTGTAACGGTATCCGTATTCGTCCCGTACCGTCACGGTTCGGTGTATGCAGTCATACGCCTTTTTTTTAACGAGTGGGAAAAAAGTCTGTCATTCAGGGCAGTATCCACTACACTATATATAATCCAGGGGGCGGTATTGCGCCTAAAAGCTGTTTGCCAGCCGCCCTTAAACAACAAATGAAGAACAAGAACAAAACACAACAAAACGAACTAAATACAAGAAGAAGAAAAGTTAGTATGGCGATTTCAGATAACACACAGGAGCTAGAACCCACCTGCTTCTTTTAAATCAGCTGTGTGGGAACATTTCGGGTTCCCTGTGGACTACAATAACAATGAAGTGTGCGAGTGGTGGATCGGACGAGTGGTGGATCGGACGAGGACGGTGTGTCGCCGTTGTTCTACAGTGGTGCGGTATGCTAATGGTAACACACGCCAAACATGCTAAATCATATCAGAAGGCATCACCCAGATTTGCCAATCACCGGAGCACAGCAAAAGACAACAGCAGTTCAACAGCTGATCCCCGCTGTTTTTAAGAAGCCAATAGGCATGAGAGCCGAGAGACCAAAATAAATAACGGAAGCTTTTGGCTTATTATTTATGATGTAATATTTTCAAGACATTCTTTTTAGTTTTACAGCTTGATGACCTTTTTGTTTGACATCAGCCATTATAGATAATATGGCCATCTGAGTGTTTGTGGTTTGTTTTTAACTGTTTAATACAGTTAATTATTCAAAATGTCAGAGTTCCTTATTTTTAAACTGAAACTTGCACTACTGTTCAAACATAAATAACAACAAACCTGGAATTATGCATTTGGGACTTTTTTTTGCTTTTTCTTGTTGTACCGAACCCGTACCGAACCGTGACCTCCAAACCGAGGTACGAACCGAACCGTGACTTCTGTGAACCGTTACACCCCTAGTCTGTATGGAACAGCAAAGCAGGAAACTCCAGATACTACAGCAATGCAAGTTCAATGTGTCTTTCTATCAGTCTAATACTATCACAACTGAAGGTACTTTACTCAACAATTATTTGAATAAGATCACCTAGTTTCTATCTTTACGCCCCATTGACAGATGTGTCACACAGCTGAATGACTCAAGTCCTGTTTTTACAACAAACACCATAAAGAGCAAAATACACAGTGTGCTCAGGATCCAATGCTGAAAAAAGAAATAGTAATTAGTCATTACACTTCCTCTGCCACTGAATGAAAGATCAACATGTTCTCCAGGCAAACCACCGGTTTTAGGGCTTTGCGTATCTATCTGAAGTACCACTCTGCAGCCGACTGTCCTTGTGCAACCCAAACATTTACTCCTTCTAACCCAAACGAATCTGACACACCCTGTAAGCTGCCGCTCTCAGTTCTGTCAAACAGTTTATCTTCTTTCAATGCTGCCCTGGGCTTCTACTTTGTAGCCGACACATAATTGCTCACTTGGGAATGCAGAAGTCAACAAGCTTTTACAGCAATAACTGACACTGTGATCAAAAAGCTAGAGAGCAAATGGACAGTAAAAACCAGCATAAAACAGATCAACTTCACACTTTGAGAGACATGGTCCAATTCTCTCTTCTGCTCAAAAAGTGAGTTAAAAATGAATAGATAAACATTTGGGAAATGACATGTGAATAAAGCATGCAAACCACTTGATTAACTTTAGGTACAAACTGATAGCTAGCCACCTTAACCCAGCGAATACATTATTAAGACAATAAAGAGTGTGCCCGCAGGCAAGGGCTCAGCTTACCTTTCACCTGAGCCGCAGGAGGCACCGCATCCAGAAGCCTTTGTGGGAGCAGCTCGTCTCACCTGCAGAAAAACAAAAGTAAGAATAAGGTTTCACTTTAACCCACACGGTAAAAACACACCGACTGCCTGACTCCCGGTGTCTCTCCTTCCCATGCTCCTCCTGGTCACACCACTGTGTGGAGGAGGGTGGAGCTCCACCCAACCCATTCTCACTCCTAAGGGAGCCGCTAACGTCTCTCGGGGCCAAACGTCTGTTTATCACATGCACACAAACCACCCTCAAACATATGGTTACTGACAGTCTCCAGCTAACATATATTTAGCACTAAGGAACTACTTGAGAATCTATCATCGAATTCAACAAGGTAATTGAAAGTGAAAGTATAACCGATCACTGCAGCAAGAAGAACTGTCCATTTTTTTTTCATGTTAAGAAAACAGTTTGTGTTTACTAAGTCAACAGAAACATGAAGGAGTACTACTCAAAACACAAAACAAATACACGCCCTAATAGGATGTGAATCCAGGAATACTGAAGGAATCTCACAATATTTTAAATACACCACCAATTTGAATCTTAAAATGTACTCTCACTCTAAATGCTTCTACTTAAAATACAGTATATTGTTAATTGTTTACTGATACAAATGCTGTTTTCAAAACCCAATTCGTTTTTTTATTATTGTATTCCCTTAAAATCCTGCCCGTGCATAGAACAATGCATTCTCTCAACAGCTGGGATGTGCGATAAGCCACAAATCTGAAAACCAAATCAAAACAAGAAGCAGCAAAAAAACACACACATATATTAGTAAACTACTGACATTAATATGAATCCTTAAAAAAAAAATCACATCCACAATTGCAATATTATGGTAACTACAAGAAGTTTGTCTCTATGACATTTAAACAATATTTGCAACAATATCCTATAACATGAATATTTGTGATGGATTGTTGCCATTTCACAGGTAGAAGAACTTCACTAAAATATCCCTAATACCTACCAAGTTTTTCAGTATCAGTATAATGCAAAGCCATGGATCTCTGCCTATGACACCACAGTTAATGATCTAACGGAAAACCAACAACTGTAAATCTGCAATCTTTGCCTTTAAATCCCAAACGCTGAGCAAACGAGGAAGCCATAACACTTGAGTACGTCTAACCGAAATAAGAAGTGAACTGAGAGAGAATCCCTGAGCTGACAGCGCTTAAGGGGCAAAGACAAAGAGGGGAGGCATTGAGAGAAGATGTAAGCAAAACACAGACAGCAAGTGAAGGAAAACAGAGAGACTTGGTGGAGAGGGAAGGAAGAACCATGACTTCCTCATATTAACTAAAACAGCTTTATTATCTATTTGATTTATTTACCCATTTAGTCCCACACAAAAGAAGCATCTGTATGAAATGCATGGCATATGATACAAGAACAACATTTATTACATGTAAAAAGATTCAAAAGTAACTGAAAGCACTGACCCAGAAAGTGACATGGTTTGAATGGAAGGATTCCAAAACTACTTTCTAATACACACTCCCAGCTGTCCTACATACATTTCCTCACTCTGACCAGGTGTTTAGGTCTGTTCTTGGGACCGATTCGCACTGCAAAAAAACATGCCATGTAAAAGTGCAAGAGTAGGAGATTGCCTTTATCCCTTTCCATTTATTCCCGTCTACCTCTGTTATGCTGTCCAACAATAAACTAATTACCCACAAAAACAGCATTTAAAACCCTGGTGTGAGATTGCCACAGTCTCCTACTACCAATTTCTACTTGTAGAGTAACGAGCAGGGTGGGATTTTCCAACCCTGCTCGTTACACACACACACTCTACAAGTAGCCCCTCGGTCTGGCCGTTATGCCCCACAAATAATTGTATGTCCTACGGCCACCATGGCCTTTGGGCCCCTCACACTGTTAAAAGTTGCTTTAAAAGCATCAGAACAGTGTTTTCTGAACTGCATTATGCTGCGTTCACAACGGACGCGATGCGAATATTCTCATCGCTCTAACCGCTGGAGTTTCACCACGGCTGTCAGCTGTGTTTACTCCTGCCATTCAAACAGGATGCGCTGGAGCGGGGGCGGGGCTTATATCCATGTAAATACTATGGTGGAAACCAACTACGACAAAATGAACATATTTTACCGTGTTTTCATTGTAATACACGTTTCAAAATGATGCCGAAGTAACTAAATACTGATAACGATTAGTAAAAACCATGCTTTAATGCTTTTACAAGTGTGCAGACAAGACGGCATGCGAAAAACCTTTTAAAATGCGTGTTTTGTGAATGGAGATTGGATCGATCAGGCTAAACTAACGTTGTAGCTGCTCCGTCCACTCCACACTCACAACAACGTCCTAAAGACAGAATTAAAGCAGCGACTGTATTCGTCATGACACAGACAGTCTGTGGTTTGTACATCTTTAACTTTTGTCCAGTTTCTGAACAGATATGAGGAGTTGATCACACACACACACACACACACACACACACACACCACACACACACACACACACACACACACACACACACACACACACACACACACACACACACACACACACACACACACACACACACACACACACACACACACACACACACACACACACACACACACACACACACACACACACACACACACACACACACACACACACACACACACACACACACACACACACACACACACACACACACACACACACACACACACACACACACACACACACACACACACACACACACACACACACACACACACACACACACACACACACACACACACTTTTGCATTTCAATGTATTGCTTGTTCATACAGTTGGATGTTGGAGCTTCACTGTGCACTGCTGAATGATGTATGTGCAGAGTTTGACCCTTGAAGGCTATTTCTTCTGCTCTGAAATTGAATATATTTGTTACATATTAATAGAATTTTTGATTTTTAGATTTCATTTCGGATTTGTGAATGGAAGTAGTAGATGGAAAACATACCAAACACTAATTATTCAAAGTAAAGTATTTCATTTTAGATACGTTAATACTAAGGAGGCATAGGCCTATATGATGATACGATTATTGATATTAAAAAAGTGATTTGTTTTTTGTCATTAGAAAGTGGAGTTGTTTATTTTTAAGCTCCAAATCCTAATTTTTCCCTCAATGGCCTTTGTGCCCTGGCATGTGGCCTTTCCGCCCTGAAAAAATGTGTGACACCAAAGGCCAAATGGCCTTGCCCCTAAAATGACGATAATCCAAGCCTGGTAACGAGTCGAATTAAATACAGCTTGGGAGCTATTAGCCACCCAAGCCCTGATATTGAAAACAATATGGTTATTGATGGTTGAAACACTGCCTCATGCATATTGTATAACTCAAACATGCAAGTAAGTAACATTTGCATCCGAGCACTGAGAGCTAAGAGCGCCAACTTTCCCAGCAAGAGAGCCAAGACTGAATCATAGGAGTGGACAAGGCCAGGTCCTGCCCACTGATTTATGGTTCTGTCTCTGGCTCCATTAAGGGAAACAATAGGAAGGGTGTGAATAATTACACGAGTAGTGTCTAGATCCAGAGAAAAACTGATCAGTGATAACAACAGCCTGATAATCTAATATTAGATTTTATGGATCTATTTAACACCACCATCCATCCATCCATCTTCTCCCGCTTATCCGTGGTCGGGTCGCGGGGGTAGCAGTTCCAGCAGAGAGCCCCAAACTTTCTTTTCCCTGGCGACATCAACCAGCTCTGACTGGGGGATCCCAAGGCGCTCCCAGGCCAGCGAAGAGATATAATCCCTCCACCTGGTCCTAGGTCTACCCCTTGGTCTCTTCCCAGCTGGACGTGCCTGGAACACCTCCCTAGGGAGGCGCCCAGGTGGCATCCTAACTAGGTGCCCGAACCACCTCAACTGGCTCCTTTCGACGCGAAGGAGGAGCGGCTCAACTCCGAGTCCCTCCCTGATGACCGAACTTCTCACCTTATCCCTAAGGGAGACACCAGCCACCCTGCGGAGAAAACCCATCTCGGCCGCTTGTATCCGCGATCTCGTTCTTTCGGTCATGACCCATCCTTCATGACCATAGGTGAGGGTAGGAACGAAAATGGCCCGGAAGACCGAGAGCTTTGCCTTCTGGCTCAGCTCCCTTTTCGTCACAACGGTGCGGTAAAGCGACTGCAGTACCGCTCCCGCTGCTCCGATTCTCCGGCCCATCTCACGCTCCATTGTTCCCTCACTCGAGAACAAGACCCCGAGATACTTGAACTCCTTCACTTGGGGTAAGGACTCATTCCCTACCTGGAGTGGACAGTCCATCGGTTTCCTGCTGAGAACCATGGCCTCAGATTTGGAGGTGCTGATCCTCATCCCAGCCGCTTCACACTCGGTTGCGAACCGATCCAGTGAGTGCTGAAGGTCGCAGACCGATGAAGCCATCAGAACCACATCATCTGCAAAAAGCAGTGGTGCAATCCTTAGTCCACCGAACTGCAGACCCCCTCCCCCATGACTACGCCTCGAAATCCGATCCATGTATATTACAAACAGGATTGGTGACAAAGCGCAGCCCTGGCGGAGGCCAACCCTCACCGGAAATGGGTCCGACTTACTGCCGAGGACCCGGACACAGCTCTCGCTTTGGGAGTACAGAGATTGGATGGCCCTGAGTAGAGACCCCCTCACCCCATACTCCCGCAGCACCTCCCACAGTAACTCCCTGGGAACTCGGTCATACGCCTTCTCCAAGTCTACAAAACACATGTAGACCGGATAAGCGTACTCCCAGGCCCCCTCCAGGATCCTTGCGAGAGTAAAAAGCTGATCCGTCGTTCCACGACCAGGACGGAATCCGCATTGTTCCTCCTCAATCTGAGGTTCGACAATCGGCCTGACCCTCCTTTCGAGTACCTTAGAGTAAACTTTCCCGGGGAGGCTGAGTAGTGTGATGCCTCTGTAATTGGCACACACCCTCTGATCCCCCTTTTTAAATAGGGGAACCACCACCCCGGTCTGCCACTCCTTCGGTACTGTTTCCGACTTCCACG